GCGCAGATCGGCGCAGATCGACGCTGATGTTTGGCTCGGCAAATCGTTCCGATGATAAAGCGTTGTAGATTCGACAGGCCGAAATTCCATGATCGATCGATGCTTATTTTTCCACGGCGTCGGGCAGCGTGTGGCGTCGGGAAACCGGAAGGTACATATACACGTACATACACTGGTACACGAATGCATTCGAACACCCATTCACATGCATTCCGTTCAATAATTGCAATATCTACGTGGAATTAAGGAGAAAATACAAAGATTGCATCAGTAAAATTAAAAAATAATCCAACGATATATACGATATTTACATTATATTTACTGGAGATATGGACCATGGTGGCGCTAGTGAGTTAAGTCAAAAATCGTATTAAGGCTATTGTAAGCAACTAATGATCAATCAACGTCATACTAAAATTAAAATTCTTGTTTTTTAATTACTAGTGCTTTTCACGAATATTGTATGTTTCTTGTGCAATATTTTTATCATTCACTAATATGACTTGAATAATTTTTCAATTTAACTCTTATAACTTTAAGATTTCTCTCTTACTATATACATCATTATCGATCCAAATATCTCACTGCAATATGCATCTATCGCTTATAAAAATCAGCACAGGTCAATGTACGAGTACTTTCGAGTATGTGTATGCATATATTCTATATATATATTGATTTGCTTCACGAGTCTTTCCTTCATCTTCGTTTCAACGTTTCATCTTTATATTCGCGCAAAGGAGTATCGTTTTTACGGCGTCGATCACGGTAACGACCATGGTCCCGACCAATCTTCATCGTAATCGCAATTCGACTTTCAAACGTACTCCAGCAGCGTTCAAGTGGCTTCCCGGAACAAATCCGCGGTCGATGAGCAAGGACTGTCGTGGAAATGAATGCTGGATGGAAAAGTGTCTCTATTGTAGCACTTCGCGATGACATCTCGCGAGCTTTTAACCTCGTCATCTTCATAACGAGCTCGTATCCTCATAACGATCTCTGGTTTGGGTGCCACCGCTTCGCTCTTAAGTTCGATCGCCCGTAATCCGGGATGCAGGTTTAGGATGGCTATAACGAATAACGATTACATACTATCACCCTTCTTCCTTGCCAAGTGACTGATTTTACTCCTGATATTAACAGTTGCGTGAATTCTTCGCCTCGTTTCTTTGTTAATGTTCGAAGGCGTTCGAGGAAGGTTTAGAATATGTATAGGGTAGATTAGAATATAAACGGTTTAAGGGATAAATTGTGATATACGTTTGGATTGTCGTCGAGATCTTGTTATTTAAGCGGAGAATTCTGTTCCCTTGGTTAATTCTTGGTTTCGAATTGAGGCATTTGGCGAGTTTATTATTGGACTCTAAACGTTGAGGAACGAAATTTGAAGGAGCATGGAAACACAAACGAAACCTGACATAAAGGTTTGAGAAATGTAATTAAAGGAAATACGTGTAGCACATTTCTAAGCAAAAGACGCGATGTAATATGCATACGTAGTACTATACTTGGAAGACACGATTAAATAGGTGAACTGAGAATAAAGGAGTCGAAATAATATTTACTTCTCTGAAATTCAAGGATAACCCTGGTGCAACAGTAAGAATAGAAAATCGCTATTTATTCGTTAATTCGGAGAACGGAATAAAGTAGAAAGAGAAACGAGGTGCAAAGATATGTATATTAATTTTAAATTCCTAAGTAAAGTGGTCGTTAAAATAGTCTCCGTGAAGGTATTAAGCAACATTCGTTTCTTTATATTTGAAAGAGGAATTACAGGGACAGATTTAAGTGAATACGGAGGGAAAGAAAAGTGAATCCGTGATAAATTTCCATCATGACATTCTTACTGCTTCCTCTTATGTGAAGCTTAAACTACTTACAATTAGTCAAGGTGATTAGCGTGTCAGATATGATATTCATCTGCATCTTTTTCTTCTTCATTCCCAGGTACAAAGGTTCCACTAATAGCTTCATTATATCACTGATACAATTCTTCCTCGAGAAACTTTATATTTGATATAATACTATATCAAACAACTCCTACTAGGAATACCCATTAGGGTAGTTATCTTCATCAGAAAAATTCTTTCTTTTTCTCTAGACACGAGAGTGCTTCAAAGAGGGGAACACTATGTATTATTTTCAACAGGCACAAAACTTTGCTTCAGTTTCAACACTTAGTCAAGGTATCATCTCCAAGATGCGGAACATTTCAACCTTCACATCAGGTAATCCCTTAATCTCACCTTCGACGTAGACAAATACTATTATTATTGACTTAATTCTATCAAAAAATCTTAGCCTTCATCGTTACTCAAAATAAGACCCGTGAATCAGGCAACATCTTGAGGTTGCTCGTACCTTGAGGTCGGAAGCACAGAAAAATATTCCCTATTTTAACTAAATCAACGTCACACTGTCATGGTTAAAAATTCCTTGACAATTTTGACATCGAACGAAACGAGAGTGACACCGAGGTGAACTGAGGAGTGCGACTGTTCGCAACGGAATAGCCAGAGCTCTCAGCTGCATGCGAGCGGAGAGACTCGATTTCAAAGTGAGATTTCGGGAAAAGATGCAGGTAAACAAACACGAGGCTCGCAGAAAGCGAACGCGCGACGAGGGCAACGAAAGGTGGCCGAGAAAAGGGTGAGAGAGACAGCGAAGAAGGCAGGAGGGAAAAGCCCTGGGGTAGCTGATGCGCGGGCGCGGCTTTGCGGGTCAGAGTGCGCCGGGTATATAACCGGGCGGATGCCGTCGTCCTTTAGTCTTGCGCTTATCGTCGTCGCGACGACCCGCTCGAATTCGATAACGACGAGTGGCCGCGCGCTCGCGACGTCCGATCGGTTCCTCTGCAGCTTCGACCGGTGATAACGCGGAGTGCGTTGGCCGTTCGGTGGTTCCCCTCGTGAGGTACCGTCGCGCGAAATTCCGTCCACAGACGCCGACTCCGGATCCTCCTTCGCCCACATTCCTCCCGCAAGGACCGAGTTATCCACCTGGTACCAGGGATCGCGCTTGGTCTCACCGGGCCAAGCCATACGGTTCTTCGAGTGGTACTCGGTTCGTGAACGGTGCGTCAACCTGTTGTAGCCCTACAACGCGGTTGTCTCAGGGGCGTGTAAATAGTCCGTAGAGGGTCGTTACACGAGGCAAAGTGGCGGACGAAAGGTAAACGGTCACGATGCTCGTCAGCTGCCATTCAGACATCGTAGAGATTGCTCGAAGAGAGAAAGCGTGAAGCTCGAGTGGTGTTAACAGGAAAGGATCTGTTCCGACCTGCAGGTGCATTTGCGGAAATCGGATCGGAGTACAAGGAGGGGTGTAGACAGAGATTCGACGGTCCAAGGCGAAATGTCGCGGGGGAGATAGGAGGAGGAATCGAGAGGCGTGAAGGGTAAAAAGGAAGAGGAGAGGAAGAAGGGGTGGCTTTGCGGGGAATTCGAAGGCTGCGCGCCTCCGGCCAGATACGACCACTTGTATAGATCTATATGCATAGGAAAGTCGCGGCAATAGAAGTGCCCCGGCCACGATGGCGTGTATCTGGGTCATACAGCCGCTGTCTTTCTCTTCAGCGCGCGAGTGTGTGTATCTGTCTGTTACCTCTTGTCCCGGCGGAAAGGGGACAGGATCGTCGGCTGATCGTGAGACCGGATGTGGCTGGAATTAAACAAGAAGAGTCCGGCGAAGAAGGATCGCGTGTAGTTCGCAGACACACGGGGTTTGAGCTTCGAAGTCTTTGCCTGGTGTCCTACCGTGATCAGACTCGAAGGACTATAGGACATAGAGAAACCCTCGATTACGTGCGACGAAAGAACCTTGTCTTTTCTCACTTGTGAAGTGTCTTTCCTCTCCTTCAACAATGGTCCAACCTGTACGTAGAAACACATGTAACCTGGAGGTGCCATGAAGTGCTTGAAAAACTAGTGAGACAGAATGGAACTCGACAGTGTGTTGGTGACAGCGTAAGAAGGATTTCGAGTGCTGACACTCGCGAGAGAATCAGCGCAAAAACTCCTAGGTGGGAAGACGTAGGTGGAAGAGGTTCCTGGGAGTCGTGCTCTTCACACGGGCTCAAGATCCACGGGGCTGATGCACGCGAGTTCGTTTCGATTTCTTTGGTCTCACTGACAGTCGCGTATCGCGACGCTGCGAGCTAGACTCATATATCGGTCGCTTCTTTCGCCCAGTCACCACTGACTCGTTGGGGTAGGTCGTACGACGCGTGGTTCACCCGTGACCGGTGACTCGATACTCCGTGACCATAACGAGCAGTTACGGCGTTACGAAGAAGCCAGGGGTTGGGTGAAAGAGAAAGAGGTGGCAGACCAACCTCCCGTGAGGACAATCTCGACCAGAGGGAGCACCACGCGAGAACTGTTATCCGTGGAAGAGCAATCAGCTCGCGCGAAACCCGTTTCTCTTTAGAGCGGACACATTGGACGTGCCGGCTCGGTAAATAATGAACCCCTGCAGTCATTTATCAAGCTCACCGTAAGGCCAACGAATGCTCAAAGTAGCCTAGTTGAAGTAAGTGGAAGAGTGCAGGTAGCATCGCCACCGATTCCCGGTTGGATCTCGCTCGTTGGAAAAATAAGACCTCCTGTTGCCCTGTCTCTGTCTATCTGTCCCGATTAAACGCAACGCGATCGCTCGCCGGGTGGTTTAAAGGGAACGCTTTGCTCGTTTAATTACGAGGAAGAAGCTTCGAATTTCACGTCTCCTCGACCCTGCGGCGATAAACGAGCGAGAGTGGGAGGAAAACGAATGCCGATGTCGCCCCTGTCGTCGTCTGCGTCGTCGTCTCGGTGTTTGAAATGCGATCAGAGTTCGAGTTGTGCGACGGTGAACGGTGGCCCTGCTCCACGAGGATCTACCAGTGCAGCAGATAGCGGCGTATGAGAGCTAGTCAGGCTCCATGAGAGTGATCATTTTCAACGATCGCGGCAGAACGTTTAGCCTCTTTCGTGCGCCAGTGTAGTTCGCGTTGGTGAAACATGAGACGACGAAACAACGGTTGCTGCTGCCAGAGCAGCAAGAGGGCAGGTCGCAGCGGTTGCAGCGACCCGGATGAAAACGAGTCGCCCGGATGGTGTATTTACGCGACGATCGCTTTGGTCGCCGTTGGTTGTTACTTAAACGCGTTAGGTGGTGATTTCGTGCACGACGATATACCCGCGGTGGTGAGAAACAAGGACGTGCTAGCCCAAACTCCGTGGACCAGTGTTCTCAAGGACGACTTCTGGGGCACGCCTATGCACGACATCAACAGCCATAAGAGCTACAGACCGCTGACGACGTTAACGTTCCGGTGAGTCCAAGTGCTACTAATACATATTCCCCTTGCCATTTCTTTTCTTCGAACATTTAGGTTAGATCATGTTAAGTAAGCTCGATGCGATTTCAGTCTCAACGTATGTATTCGAAAGGCTTCATTTTCGATAAATGTAATGGGCAGGTTGGACTCGTGTTCCCGGGATAATATCGCATTTATAGCGAAATACTGAGAAAAAGTTTGAGTAACGTTAGAGAACAAAGACGTAGAATATTAAACACGAACCATTCGAGTTACAATGGTATTTGGTCACGTGAATTTCTTCTGTGCCAGTTTAATCAGACTGTGTCCCTTATTTACACGCGTTTTAATACTTCTATACATAATAATTTCACTCACACGTTCACAATAATTGTACATCAATTTCCACGCGCTATTATTCCACAAGTTCTTTCACCCGTCAGAGATTTGGATCTGAAACTATTCGAATACCCTCGTGAGTGACTGCCGATGTTTTCGTAAAGCTGCTCTTGACGGGTTTTCCAACTGTTGACTCGGTCTAACTGGGAATTTACACGTCTTCGTGAACACAGGATGTTGCGAATATCGTTAAATGTGCTTCTCGCTCGTTCGCATTAACGAGTTTACAGACTCAACGCACTTTTCGAACCACTAATTATAATTAAAGCCGCCCTGAATACGGAAATCTCTATACTGCCGTGAAACCTGGTTCGAGCTCCCTCGTCTTCGATATTTCATAGGAATACTGGATCTCATGCGGTGGCGCCATTCTTCTTACTGTGATAATCACCAATCCTCTCTCAATGTTACGTCACTGCTCGCGAAAGCCTAACTTGCTGGTCGAAAGCGACTCGGTGGTATTAAGTTGTTAGGCAAGAAGGGAAGCAGCAATGAAAGGGACTGAAAGGAAAAAATAATCGCGAGATCGGAAACGCGAGGTCGATTAAAATCTCCACAAGTGGCTTGCGAGCAGCATGGCAATCAGCGGCGGTATTATTAAAACGAATTTGCTGTGCGCCGTTTCCACAATTAGTAGACACTGCGCGTGGTACACAATTAAAGCTGAGAACTCAAAATAAACCGCCACGAGCTACGTCGTTCCGTTGGCTTATCGCGAATGGAATAATTACACGTTCCATTTTTGTCGCTCGCCGAGATCGCGCGGGGTTGATCGTTCTTGCGCGGCATTCGCCGAGACTCGATGCACTAAAAGTGCATCTCCATCTCCTGCATCTCGAACGAGTCGTAGAGTAAGCTTCGTTGAAAGCATTTTCACCTGTACTTTGATCCTTGGGTCCAATTTACGGTAACGATGATTAGGGGCGACTGGCCAGGTTGCTTGATTCATTAGATACGAGATTGTCTCTAATTTTAATTAAAAGGAACCTGTAGCGGCCACTGACGTGTGTTCTGGACGATGTGACGTTCACCACATATCTGACAGGAATGAAAAATGGAGGCTTTATCTGAAGGTACGAGTGGAGAGTGTTCAGCTTCAGCTGTGATTGCAGTTCATGTAAGCTTCGTTGAAAGCATTTTCACCTGTACTTTGATCCTTGGGTCCAATTTACGGTAACGATGATTAGGGGCGACTGGCCAGGTTGCTTGATTCATTAGATACGAGATTGTCTCTAATTTTAATTAAAAGGAACCTGTAGCGGCCACTGACGTGTGTTCTGGACGATGTGACGTTCACCACATATCTGACAGGAATGAAAAATGGAGGCTTTATCTGAAGGTACGAGTGGAGAGTGTTCAGCTTCAGCTGTGATTGCAGTTCATGGGAATTGCACGTTGGATATTTATGAGAGGATGTGGGTTGAAGATGACACAATTTTGTGCCAACTTCCTGTCTAAAAAGAAATGGAAATATGTAATTCCTGCAAATTTGTAACAACGACCATTGCCCATCAGAATTGCCATAAATATTATATTTTCTGTCTCATACAGCCTTAATCTATAAATTACTAGACCAAATATGTAAGTTACATGTGATATGTAAAAATGTCGGACCTAACAGAAATGTTTGAACACAGTCGTAACGTAGAATAATTGCTCTACCTGACTTGACCTAACCTGAAATCCGATATGGACTCTGGACCTGAATGTCTCGGGCACCTGATGGTAGAATCGAAAACAGGTTGGACTTCTGAAAAGTTTCGGGTCTTGTCCGATATATGTACCAAGGGCATACCTAATACTTCGGATTCGAGTTGGGCCTGTACCCAACATTCAAGGTCATGTTGAGTCGTGTCGGGGGCTGCAAAATTTATGTCATTCCAATACTCGAATCTTACTGCACAAAAACATGGTAAAAAAGGAAACAAGTCTAGAGTAAATTGCGTTCGAAATACCTGACTTCGTGTTAGGTATCCTCTCCTAATACATACAGAAGTAACGACGTGCTAGTCTTTGTTTCGAAACTTCGTTGTTCCGTACGCGTCACAGTAGAACCTTAAGGACTAATCAATTTGGCCCGTGAATGATTGGATTGACGCCCCATCCGACCGTTAATATCCCCTAATCTCGAGACGAAGGAACGTCACTGTCGGCGTCGGTAGTCTTCTCGTCTTAGGGCCTCGGGAATTATGGATGCGTTCCACTTCCGGCAACGCGCGAAACACGAAAGCTCGCTTCTCGTCCCATCCCACTCGAGCCCCCACTCCCGGCCGTCTAAACGTCAACCCCTCCACCTGGCGGCGGAACGTACGAGCCGAGCGTCTCTCCGCGTCGAAGTTGGCAACAGCATCTGGAGCGTTAAGGCGAATGAGCGATGTGCCGGTGTCTTGCGGTATGATGGATCGCCCAATACCAGCCAATATGCAGTACTGCGCGCGGAGTGTGGCAAACTGGTATCCATGCATCAAATCGGCGCTAGGCGGAAAGCGCGGCGGTCTGCTCGCGTTTAGGGGATACAGTGTAACGCGCCGGTGTGTCCACCAGCATCTCGTGGTCGAGGTCCTTGTCACCCATCCCGTGGCCATACCACCGCCACAGCGCAGACTATCGCACGGCCATACGGCGCTGCTGGCCAGACTATGCCGGACACGCATCCGCAATTTTCCGTTCGCCGTTCGGGACCGGTGAATCGATATACATACACTCAGCCGTTCGAGAATTTGTCCGGTGCAGATGTCGCGCGTACCTACATACATGGGTGGAGAGTCGCGGTGTCTTATGAGGCAATTGCGCGAGTTTGCGGCTAGATGTCGTTGTGATACAGGAGTAATGGCGGAGGGAAGAGGTTTCGTTTGTTTCATCCCTTTTCCTGTTCTCTTTTGACGCTTAATGCCTATAGAGCTGTCACTTACTCAGATCTTAGAATCCGACCCTGACTCGACATTGCCTAATGCATCTAAAAGTTAATTCTTGCTTTGACATTTGTACCGAATATTGAAAATCCTATTTTTCAATCTAACTTTTAGTTCTTCATAAATTTTGTACAATTTTGGTGCCAAATTGAAAATGCTTAATTGACGTTTAATATCTTATATTTAGAATAGATATCGATTTTGATTTTATTTTTGGAGTTATTCAGTTTCAGGCGAATTGTAGGATGGCTCTGAACTATTCACCGTGATCATTCTCCAGGGGTGTCGATTTGGTTACCGTTTAGATATTGACGAGTGAAACTCGAGAGTAAGGGAACGTTTGTTTTGTCGTACACAGGTCTGGTTTATGTTAATGGTTAGAGAGAACGATTTTCTATGACGTTTCCGCATTCAACGGTTTATTTTGATACGCTTGGATACTAAGCTGCTTCAAGAGGGTTGCTTTAGTAGAATTTTGGGCGAGATGTCTGCCTCTGTCTCGAGTGACGGGGTTGTGAGACAGATTTGCTCTAAGTTGAATTCACTTAGATATAGTTTAGAGAGGTTATGCGAGATGTTATGCTAGGACATACAACGTGTTGTCTAAACACATACGCATCTCTTTCGTTTTTAATAATATCGGTTTCTTTCTCGATAATCACTGCTGTAATGCACGAATGCCTTTTTAAGCATTCGGTAAGGTAAGGTTGTCCTAAAATTTGATTATGACTTGATAGGTAAATATTTCTTTCTGCACAAGATAACGATGATGCTGAAAATAAAAAATATCAGACTTTAATATACGCAGAAATTGGACACGGTGTAGAGTTTGAAATTCATCTAGGAACTGGGCAGTTGATGACTCCTACGTTTTACAAAGCGCAAGCTTATTGACACGGCAACTGAAACGCGAGTCCAGAGAATACCAGCAGTCAGAAAAATAGCACAGCATATGCTTATAATTACTCCTTCCGTTTGTCACAAGGCCTGGTGCCGATTACTCTCATTCGGTGCTCTGCCTACGGTAATGCACGGGTCAAAGGTTCCGAACAATTCAGCTTCTTCGCGTGCAGTAGGTATCCACATACACGCGCGTACGTTTCATTTAGTGTCTTTTTCTTCTTATCCCCACCCTTCCATCTATTTACTGTCCAGGGAACTTTGATGGCGCATAGGATATATTTTGCCTTTCAGAATTCCAAGCTTCGTAGGAATGAAAACGTTACCGACGATCCGGAAAATTCCCAGCGAAAGGCGGTTGACCCGTACCTTTTCGCTCCCCAACCGAAATTTCTACGAAGTTTCCGAACGTTCCTCGCCGAATCGGTCATCAACTCCGCCATGTGTAACTCGCGTCTGCGCATGCGCGCTCGTGCCTGCACGATTACGGTTTTGAACGCGATGGACACCTTCCGCAAATCTCTAACAAGTGAAACGAAATTATCTGCGAAACTGTGGCCCGATAACACGCGATTTAGCAAAATCGATCCTTCCGCGTGTGAAACAAATTATTCTAAACTCGTTTCGAATAGCATTCGTTCGTTCAATTGACTTTTTCGCGATGACTGAGCATAGAATGGTTTGAACTCGAGTTGCCGATAAATTTCTCCGACCATGTTTTCCATCTGAAATAGGATCATTGCAAGAATAGTCGCGTGAATCGGATTCATTTTCAATGATAGTGGATGGTATTGATTTTTAAAG